AAGCTACCCCGTCCGCATGTTCATTCGTCTGAAAATGTGCCCCTCCTTAGAGAGCGTATTTAAGACACAAGCTTCTGAGCCCAAACGGCAAATAATGTACAAGGATAGGCTTCCTTAGTAAGATGCAAAAGTTAAAAAACATACCCAAAAATGAGTAATAAGGATCAGATTATGAAAAACATTTGAAGGACAACAGTTAATGCCTCCATGTTACAGGAATGTTTTAGCAAAACAGAATTACTGATTATAAAGAAAAACAATTTTCTGTGAAATTAGTCAACATGTTTATAAACATGAAATTTGAGCACAACGTCATAAAATTGCACTGAATTAACATGCAGTTTTACAGCACAACGTATACTGCTACAATAATATGGTGAGAAATGTATAAAATATAACATTATAATGTTGACATAATAATATAATTACGATGCAGTGAATTACGCTAATGTTTGAACTGTTATGAGCGACAGAACAACGTTTAAAATACTTACTTAGAAGGATTCTTTATCACATACCGAAGATTTGAACAAAACGTTGTTCATATTCAGAGTTAAATCTGGAGTTTGGTCCAAAAAGTTATCATTAATGAATCACTGTGGATAAATATCTGAAGCGTTGTTGCCCCATTGTGAAAATCCGGAATATGTTCTAATATACAGTCAGGGACAAACTTTAACGAAGATTTTAGTCTCGATAGCGGAAGCTGCGAAGTCATGATTTCGTTCTGGTAAAAACTGAACTACGTACGAACAACCTTATTCTATTTTCCAACGCAATATATAAAATTATTCAACCAACTATAACCTGCTGTGCCAATTAATAATCATCGAACCTGAGCAACTCGCGACTACGAACAAAACAAGAAGTTCAAGAGGAGTTTCAACAAAGGCATACCCTTTTGTTTATACGCTTTTTCAAATCGCGGGTTTCACCGAATCCAAACAAAAGCAAATGACGCTGGTTGCACTCGTTTCTGTACTGATCGTCCTACAGGTGATAATACATTTACAATAATAGCAAAGCTGAACAAAAAATTAATATGGCAGATATAACAGATTCTGAACGCTTAATTTAAAATTGAATTTAAGAAAAGAGGATCTCTTGCATTTCCTTCGACAATGCCAGTGGATTTCGTGTAAGCACTACAAACGATTCATTATTTTGTGAGAAATAATTATTAAAAAGTGCATACATTTTTTATTAATGATGCAAAACCATGTGTTATAGAAACTGAAAAAACAAACGGCATTCCGAAGCAAAGAATGAAGCTTAGATAATGTTTATTGGCAACATTCTCATGCTCACGATCGTGTTCTTAATACTCACGATCCATATCCTTACAATCATCATCTGCGTCCTGATCACCCTTTCACGATGTGTCACGGATATACAAAATAAAACCGGTGGCAAAGCTACACCTTCCTTTGGG